AGTGGGCATTTCATAAGTTACCGGCAGTTGTGATAGGCCTTGTCCACATAAAGTGAAGCTGCTGATACCTGAATGTGTTAAAAAATGTGGGACTCCGAAGCTAGATTATTGCGGAATGCTCGAAAACTTACAAATTTTGAAAGGTTTTTTTGTTTATCGTTCTGTCTTCAGTTGAGGACTTGAGTGGCTAACTTGAGGGGATCTGCTGTGTCCTATAGTAGATTTTTCCAATTTTCCTTCCTTTGAAATACTACTTCAGAAGCTTTTTATTGACTAGTAACGATTTCATTTCTCGCCTACGATATTTGTTCAAGAAATCTCCGGATGAGATTCGAAACATATGTCTAATTGCACACGTGGACCATGGCAAGACATGCTTCGCCGACTCACTTGTCTCGACAAACGCGATCATTTCTGGTAAGCCGCTTGTGCTGGGTTGTTTCTGGGGCCTCATTTTGGATACTACACTTTATAGCTCGAATGGCCGGAAAATTACGGTTTCTTGACAATCGTGAGGACGAGCAGACTCGTGGAATAACTATGAAAGCCAGCGGAATTTCATTACTATATGGTCCCATGCTGGTGAATCTAATGGATAGTCCAGGTTCGTCCACAAGCATACTGTTCGATCAGCTACATGTCTTATGAGCCATCTCTTCAGGTCATATTGATTTTTCGTCAGAAGTAACATCTGCTTTATTATTGTCGGACATAGCTTTGTTACTAGTTGATGTGGTACGTTTGACGAGATACGATTTTTGGAGACGAGTTCTTAGCCGTGTTCTCAGGTTGAAGGTGTGTGCTCTCAAACAGAAGTTTTATTACGGCAAGCGATTACTCATGGGCAAACGGTTATCCTTGTTATTAATAAGATGGATAGGTCAGTGGCTCGCATCATTTCTTACCATTGTGAATAAGTTACTGCATTTACTCCTTTCAAGGTTACGAGTCGAATTAAAAATGGATGCGTCTGAAGCATATACTCATATCGTACGCTTACTTGAAGCTGTAAATAGTTGCGTTAGTCAGGTTAGTCTGTTTAGCCTACAATTGTTTTTCGTATTTAGCTGTAATATTCCCCCTTTGTTCCTCCTCCTAGTCCATCATCTCTACGAATTGTTTATCATTTTTCGTCATGAGTATTCGTTAGATATTGTCTTCTTGGTGTTTCCTATAGCCTTTATTAACACGTTGACGACAGGCTGACGCGCATGCGCGTCAGAAATTTGGCACCGCATCGGACATTCTGACGCGCATGCGCGTCAGAACTATGTCATTCATTTTTATTGTGCTTGCGCTCCTTCTTCTCGAGTTTTTTGCATTCATTCTAGCATAACTATAAACCACATGGCAGCCAGAGTGGTCAAATATCCCTTGATTTAGCAAAGATTTTCTGAACGCACAAAACTTTCATTTCAATTCTTCCTAGTATTCCTTTCACTGTTCTCGGTGAGTTTCAAGATATTTGTATTTGATGGAAGAACTTAGGTATAAATGCTTTTAACTTCATTCGCAGCGAAAGTGATGTTTTTTGCTTCTTCGTGGTCATTATGCGTTCTTCTGAACAAAAACCTATTGCCATTTATATAGCTAACCTTTATGCTTCGCAAAACCGCTCGTGTCCCACGCGGTGCAGAATTCCAAAACACGCGATGTCGTCAACGTGTTAATGAACTGAATCTGTGCTAGTAGTGTGCGAAAGATGTTAGGTTGGAAAGATGTCTAAAGACCCCTCCTCATTTTATTCCCTCAGTGATTAAAATGAAGAACCTCGAGCAATCAGCTTTCCTTGTTTATCTCCGTGGTAGAACTTGAGGCTTTCAAGGTAATGACCGTATTATGGAACACATTAAGGATCAAGAGCAGTTCTACGTTTGTAGTTGTTAATTCATTCTTATTGAAGTATCAGTAGGCGTTCTCGGGCCTCCTTTCGATTGTGAAATTGTCATCCAACCACGAAAAGTTCACACCCAAGCATGCTGCACATGCTGCAAAAGTACGGTCCATGAAAACTGTACTTTTTTGTACGTTTTTTGTCAGGCTGGCAGTCGGGTTCTCCATTCATTGTGATATCATTGAAAAGAGTGTTTCCTACTCAACCCACTGCTAAGCGCCGAACTCCATTTAAGAAAGAAGAGGGGAGGGGAACCAATAAAAATAGGTCATTCTCCCTCACAGCTGAACTTTAAACAAATGGTCGCGACTGATTAGTTTGAAGAGACTTATTCTATGTTGATCGAAATGTTAATATTTTAACTAACTTTCGCCCGCTGAAAATCAGTAGAGAATTTGCCCATGATGCACGCGGATGGCGCTCAACGAAGTCCTCGACAACTCGTTAGCCCTTACAACGTTATCCGAAATCGGAATGAGTCTCGCCTAGTATGAGCTACCAACTCCAGAAATCTGTTCGCCACGGAACTGATTGAAGAAATCATGTAGTAGCTTCAGGCTGGAGCAATTATGGTAGGACTCTGAGCTCGACCGCGATGGCAGATGACGTTATATTTGGAGGCCGTGAGGGCAGCGAAGGAGGGCCTGCTCCCGACTGTTGGGGAAATCTAAGGAATATCACAGTGGAAGACTTACATCAGCAGCGACACCCTGGCAGTCAACGAAAAGTTTGGCGATTCTGGCCATGGTAGCATGGGTTTTATTTTGCACCCTCACTGCTATCTTTCGAAGACACATCATAAACTGTGACATGGGCCATTCATCGATCTTGCATGGCATGGCACATTCACCGAGGTAGCAGCAACAGAAGTATTCAGAAAATGTCGCTATTCTTGAAATGAATAAAAGGTCAATCAATGGGTAGCGGAACGATTTTACACATTCGTCCGAACTTGCACGAAGTTCAGTGAGGTTAGCGAACCTTTTCCTCACAGTTGAAACGAGCATTTCTCCCCGAAAATGAGGGAAGGGAAGCTTGCCATCTTTTGCCGTGCCCCACAACGAGTCGCTTGGAAAAGTGATCCGAGTGAACTACGGCGAAAACAGCGCAACTATCGAAGGTTGTTCGTCCGCAAACATTGACGGTTTAGCGCAGTATGACGCAGCTGTGGTGACTCGTTATGTGATTAGAAGGCTGTTCGCTGAAGTTCAAAAAGACACCCTTGCGTAATAAAGTCAATGACTTTTTTTTGGCTGGGAAAATAATCGATTGCGCCAGGGAATCGCGACATTATTTGCAGTGCTGTAGTTACAGACATAAGTTCATTGGCCACGCGGATGCGATGAATGGGTGTGCCATTTTGTTCCAAGTGATGAGACGTCGAAAGGAACGTTATGGGAAGAAGTGGAAAACATGGAAAACACTGGTTTTTTTTTTTGCCCGGGTCTGATCTTAGTGCGAGCAGATACAACGCTCGCGAGGAGAGGGCGAACGCGGGAGAACACGTCGCTAAGGGAGAGGGAGCATACGCGCGTATACTGCTTGATAAGCACTGTTGAGCAGTCTAACGAAGGGGGCAGCAATTCTTCTACCACTCACTTTTATTCGCGAGCTAACCAAACACCTCTACGAATGCAGAGGGTCCTGCTACCTTTATTCTAGGCAAATTTCTCTAAGCGGTTAATCGCAACCCATGCCTTTCTAGCTTATTTTAATCCAGCTCCGAAACTTTCAGAGAGGGTCGCATTGTCGTCCAAAGCGCACCAAAATACTCAGTAAGCGCAAACTCCAGAAAGCAGTACGCCACCAAGTTCGACGTTAAAGCACACGTCCGAGTATTAGGGCTGCAAGAGACCAGCTCCACAAACGTGAGAATCGAGAAACAGGGGCCTCGATGACAGGAGTGGCTCTCATCTCTCTAGATTCAAGTACTCCAGTACTTGTCCTGTTGCCAGCGCTTCTTCTTACCAACAGCGGCACATAAGGCGTTTGCGCCCTCTCGCGTACGGCGTGCGCTCTCGCGTGTTCGCCATCCTCGCAGCGCTGTGTCTCTCAGTCACACCACGGCCGATCTCACAAGGGAAATCTCAGTTTTTACTTTCTTCTATTGAACTCAACAGCAGGTTGTCAAGAAACATTGTCGGCTAACGTTTTGGTGGGATTCGTTAGAGCCTGAAAAAATCTAGTCAATCTATGACCCCACCAAACGTCGCCGATACCCTACAGATGCTCAAAATTAAACGGGTCATCAGGCAGCCACACTTACCGTAAGCCGGTCCGAATTTTAGACCAGTCATAGTTTTTTGGAAATTCCAGTATTTGCTGTGGCCCTTTTGCTTCTTCTCCCTACTAACATTCCTCACCGCACCTCTTGTCCAATTTTTGAACAAAGAAACCCACCAATTTGGACCCGACCCTTGCCTCTAAGCTAATCTAGCACATTGGCAAACATCACTTCTAGTGCCTTTCCTGTTGAAGAACGCTAGTTTGAATCCGTTTGGAAAACAACATGTTTAACCCCTTTGTACCCCTTTGTGTACTGAACTACTCAAGGGCGGGACTGGGTTACTAACAATAATGCTCTCGCCTACGACTTGGAAACCTAGTAATTACCTAAAAGTGAGTTTCAGATAAGGCGAGTGGATAGTTGAACTAAGGATATTTTTTTCTCAACTCGTTTCTTATTGCCCTTTACTACCTTTTATTCGGTTTGTTGCTTCGCTGCCGCTTACTGGCTCCCGATACATCCATTTACTATGCTTCTAATACTATCGCCTCCTACTTGCTGTGGTTGAGCAAAATGTGGCCTTCCTTTTGACAACCTTTCAAATTCTTCACCTTTGTTCGCTGTCCCTTCTGTTGACACAAATAAGCTGTCGCTGCTTAAAGTTTAGGTGGGTTAGTGGTTAATGGCGCTGTTGCTTACGCATGACCCAGTGTTGAAATCTTGGATTATATCTCAGTCGAGGTTTCCATCTCTCTAAGTCGGTTAGGCGCTGGATTTATCCTGGCAGATGGAAACCTCAACAAAAACGTCGACTGACTGTGCAAGAGACTATTTGATGGGCCATGCACGCATTCAAAGATCATTCCAGCTCAGAATTGAGGTTGAATGCATGCGCCTATTGAAAGAAAATAATCAAGGTAATTAAT